CAGGACTTTGCACCCCGACTGCGGTCCCCTTCACCCTCATCCCTCCACCCCCCCCTTCCGATCCCAGCGATCGATGCTGCGAGCCAAAAGCTCTGGGTGAGCTGTGCACCGTGCGTTAACCCAGAGCTCCCGGTGCCATTCAGGACCCCACAGCACCCCACGGCACCCCGGGCCGGGCAGCACCCACACTGCGCCCTGGGCCGTGCTGCATTCCAGGGAGCCCAGTGCCCTGCAGCACCCAGTGAACCCAGTTCCCTCCGGGTCCCGACGCGCCGCGGCACCCCGCGCACCTCACCTCACCCCGCATCACACCCGGCGTTCCCGGACCCGCTCCGCTCTCAACACAGTTACCGCCGGGAATGGTCCTTTGCCACCGCCGGTGGTTTCTCTTCTGGGGCCTCCCCGCATTCAAACCGGGGCCAGATTTCGCGGAAATTGCATCACGGCGGCCCCGCCCCGCCCCGCTCCTCCCGCCGGCACCGGGGGGGAGCCGACACCGGCAGCGGCACCGGAGAGCGGGGAACCGGGGGGAGGGGAGGGAAGGGATGCGCGGGGACCGGGCGGCACCGGGGAGCGACGCACCGGGGGGGGGGTTTAAATGCGCGGTACCGGGCGGGAGCGGCACCGAGGAGGGGCACACCGACACCAGGAGGGGACGCACCTGGGGGTGATGCGCGGGAGCGGCGGGCCCGACAGGCGCTGCCCGGCCCGGACTCCGAACAGGACGGCGGCTTTTCTCCTATTCCCGGTTGGAGTTCCCCGTCCCGTTCTCGCTCCCGAGGGTCGGGGTACTCGGTCCCCCCTCACTGCCCCTCTCCCCGTCCCCGCACCGTCGGAGCCGCTCCCCCGCTGCTCACCGCTCCGCTGCCCGTCTACTCCGGCCGAGACCGAAACGAAGGGCGAAGTGCCGCGGGGAGCCCAGCGCTGTAGCCCGGCACGGGGCACGAGCGGACCCGGCGGTCTGGGCTTTAAAAGGGCTTCCGGGAGGGGCAGGGTTTACTCCGTTTCCTTTCTGTTTATCATCAGTTTCGTTTTCCATTCCTTTCCCTGGCTGAAGAGGTGCAGCCAGCTATGCAAAGTTCGAACCGGAAAAGAATGTATATATATATATATACATATATATATATCATATACATATATATGATATATATATATATACATATATATATATCAGTCTACCCCCAGCAGTGAGCACACAAGGAATCAGGAGCAGGCATGCAAGCGTCACCTCCAGGACTCAGCAGCAGTTTGGGGGCTCCTCGGCCTCCAGCCGTGCCCCTCCCCCATCTATCCCAGTTTTATCCCTCCCTTGTCTGCTTCGCCCCTTCTCAATTCACTTGCAGACCCCACCCCGTTAGAGTGGGATGCACAGCTAGTTTGCCCTGCTGGCACTGCCCCCAAAAATGCACAAACCCATGGGAAGATCAGTGGAACCAGGAGGGTTCCCCACAGCGTGGCAGACCCCAACGAGCTGCAGGGCTGCAGCTGTGCATTGTGTCACCACCCAAAGGGACAGCACTGGGACGGGCAATGCGCTCAGAGCTCAGCTTTCCCATCTCGTAAAGTTATCTCCATGCCAACATCCAGCACGTTCTGGAAAAAGATCGGGCAGCACTAGGGCTCCTCCAGATGTGAGCAGCTGGGAACAGGGCCCAGGGACAGCAGAGAGCTGGCAGCAGGGTTATGAGTCCTGCTGCAAAGATGCAAACCGTCGTGAGTGAGCTGAAGGAAAGCTCATCTGCGGGTCAAGCAGCAACAGGAAGCGCAGAGGCAAGCAGCAGTGTGTGCAGATGGGGAAGGAGGGGCAGAGAGCAGTTCCTGGTGTTTGTCAACAAGGGCGGGCAGACAGGCTATGATGCTCGCTGCCTCCCATCCTCGCAGCGCAGAGCTGGACCTCACCCAACCCAAGCAGTGGGTCACGGCCCATCAGCCATGCGGGCAGCTCCAGTGTGTGCACTGAAATCCCACTCCCTGCCAGCCCCATGGCGTGATGGCAGTGGGGCCGCAGCCGTGGGGCCACGATCTGTGCTGTGATTTGTCAGCAAAGGACAGGCGGCCCAGGATGTGACCCTGCTGTCACCCCGGGGCTGAGAGAGCCTGGTGGTTTCTTCCTCATTGGGAGCACTGTTGGTTCAGGGCAGTGCGGGGTCACCCTGGGGTGGGAACCAATCCTTTTTCCCCATGAAAATGCGACTGTAAGGCTGAGGAAGGCACCATCTGAGCACAGAGCAGGCACGGACGCCGAGATGCTGAGCAGCAGTGCTGCCCGTGGGCAAATCCCCCCCCCCCCCAGTCAGTGCTGAGCCGGGCGTTATCACTCAGCAGTCAAGCACCACAACCACAAAACCCAAACACATCCTCCCTGCACGATGCAGGCAGCGATGGGCTCACGCAGAGCACCGAGGGCTCGTTCTTATGTTACGGGCGGGTTATTTCCCATAACGCTGCAGCTCTGGGCGTCGGAGCAGGGGAAGACATCGGCTTTCCACAAAGCAAACCGCAGGACGTCCTCACAGCACGGGGAGGTGAGGAAGCAGAAGGAGTCTGGCCGAAAAGCGGCACGGCTGTTACCCAGCGTGCAGGAGGAGCCGAGCGAGGAGGCGAAGCTGCATCGCCGTCACGGCACCAGCAGTGGGGGTGCGCCGAAACCCGGTGTTCGCTCATTCCAGGCACACAAACCCAGCCGTAAGTGCCCAGTTTCGGTTTCCGTTCCTTCTGTCGGAGG